ACAATACATGTATAATATTATACATGCATTCACAACAAAAACATCTATTTAACAATCACAACTTCCAAACCGGGCTTAAATAGCGTGATTTTCACTTCCTCCTTCGCAGCCATTAGATCCACTTTCTCTCTTGGTTTTTCAAATTAACGGTTTAGATGAAATGAAGGGTATTTTGGAAGAGAAAAACTTACCACACAGGATCCTTTCTCATTTTCTATATAATCTGATTTCCTAAAAAAAACTCTTCCTCTAACCCCTCTTTCTTCCCTCTTCCCAAGAACCCTAAATGCTCTCTGTCTCTCCCTCCCGTCGCCTTCGCCGCCACCCCCTTCCATCGCCACCGTCGTCTTCTCTCCCTCTTGTCGCCACCGCCGCCATCTCTCCCTCCCGCTGCCACCGTCTCCCTCCCGCCGCAGCCGTCGCGTCCTCCGCCTCCCACCACTGCCTCGCCATAACGCTCTCCCCGTCGCAGCCCTCTCGCCTCCCTCCAACTCTTGTCACCGCCATCTCTCTCCCGCCGTCCTCCTCTGCTGCAGCGAGGTAACGACCTCTCCCCTTCCTTCTCCTTTCCTCATTCCTTAATTTTTTTTTCCAGATCTGGGATTTTTCAGATTCCAGATCGTGTTTTTTTATGTTATTCTCTAGTGATACTTATTTCTGTGTAGTGGTACGCTACCAGTGGTAGTGGTAGCGTACCAGTACTCAGTGGTAGCGGTACCGGTGAGTAGTGGTACTAATTTCTGTCTAGTGGTACACTACCAGTGGTAGTGGTATCGTACCACTATTCACTGGTAGCGGTACCAGTGGTAGTGGTATCGTACCACTATTCACTGGTAGCGGTACTAGTGGTAGTGGTATCGTACCACTATTCATTGGTAGTGGTACCAGTGGTAGTGGTAGCGTACCACTACTCACTGGTAGCGGTATCAGTGGTATTTGTAGGTACCACTACAACTAGTATGTACCACCACTACTGGTAGCGTACCACTACATGAAAATCAGTACCAGTAGCGCACTGACGGAGTGGTTTTTTGCAGATGGCCGGAGCGAGTCTGATTGGAGGATTTCACCGGAAAAAAGTCGTCGGCCGGAGAAATTTAGCGGTCGGAGTGAAGAGGTTGCTGGAAAAGAAAGATATATATAAGCGTATTAATAGTAGGATTTAAATTAAAAAAAAGTATTTAATTTGGGTTTTTAATTCCCAATCTCTAATTAATACAAAAATAAATAAATAGTAAATTCTGTTTTTTTTCATACCCAAATTGCCCTTGGATGTGAATCTCACATCCCTCTTAGGGGAAGTGACAGTAACTCATCCCAAACGACCCCTTAAAATCCTAAATCAATATTATCATTTGGATGGTTTTTTTCTTCTTAATACGATTATGGTAATTTCTGAGATTTAAGGGTATTTGATAATGTCAATATTTTAGTGGGTTTTTATTTAAAGTTTGAATTGAAAGATCGTACATACTGGCGGTTCGACCATAAAACTTCACACCAGAGGCTAAATCGATACTTGATATTTAGCAATATGAAACGGTTGAACCATAGTTAAATTATAATTTCAGTATAAAATACTCTACTACCAAAAAGTTTGATACTATTACAATCATTTGATTCAAACAATTCTTTTACGTGGTAACAAAAGTTTTAAGGCACATTTTGAACTATCTATTGCAAAAAAACATAAGTCAGTTAGCGATAATGAGAATATGCGATCTCATTCAATCCAAAAGACAATTTGCAACTTCTATATTTTTAAAATAAATGTATGTTACTTATATCCTCGCTCATTCATCAACTTAATGAGTAACATATATTTCATGTAATATGATTTTCATAGGTTTTTATTTATTGAATTATTTCATGAAAAAAATTTGTTGCATGAAAATTACTACATTCTTGCTAGACATGTCTGCGATCTGAGAATAATTGGGGAATCCATACACAACACATTGTCCAACTAACTATTAACGACAATTTAGCATCATGTCCAATATATTTCAGATCAAGCAACTTCAGATTCATTACCAATGGTGTGGTAAAAAAGAATGCTCTCTATTGGGAAAAACTTAAAGGACATACTAAACTCTATGAGAGACATTTTCTTTCATATTAAAGGTTGATTATGTATATATTATGCGAAACAACTCTAATATTCAACTATATGGTTTAATTAAGTAATGAATGATAATTAGTTATAATTATTTCTTTTTTATTCAATAATTATAAGTAATACTTATATTATATTTTTTTCTCTTTTCCTGAAAGTCTAAACACATTATGCATAGTTGGATCACTTTTAAATATGTTATGTGCATAACTAACGTAGAAAACAATCATTTTATGCATTTCAAATCATCTATTATATATCCATTATTATATATCATATTACTAGACAAAATTCTTTCGGCCAACGGCCGAGACCTTAACCTAGTTATATATGTTAGGATATGACTTGAATTTGATTTGAGTTTGTTTTGGGCCTATTTGTTTGGGTTTATGTTTGAGCTTTGTTTTGGCCTTTTCCTTGTATGTTTGGAAAAATGTATTTGGTTTTCTGTTAAGGATTAGGAGAAGAGTTCTATAAATACTCTTTATCACCCTAGTCTGTAGTAAGGTCAGTCAGGTTAGTTTGTTTGGTTTGTCCGTTAGGAATTTGGTTTGTAACCTGTACTCTCCTCAAAATCAGTGAAATTTGTTCTCCCTTGCCCGTGGATTAGCTAGCACATATTGTGTTAGTGAACCACATTAAACTTGTGTTCGTTCGTGTTGGTTTGGATTATCGATTGCACGCTTCAGTTCTGAAAAGTGGTATCAGAGCCGCGGTTGATCTTTGGGCTATTTGAATTTGTCTTTGCGGTTTTTGGGATCAGTGTTGGATGCGGTTTTGGGAATTTGGTGTTGGACTGAAGTTTTGCTTTGTGGAGGTAGCTTTCAATTCTTCAGCTTGGTTCGGTGGAGGAATCGCTTTGAAGTTGACTTTGGGTAGTTGTGTTTTGGTCTCGCTTGTTTGATGAGAAGTTTGGTTGGAGTTTGTTTGATAGTAAGAATGGCTGCTATCAGTATGAAGATTGAGAAGTTTATAGGAAGAAACAGTTTCAGTTTGTGGCTGATCAAGATGCAAGCACTATTGAAACAACAGGGTTTGTGGGCTCCATTGTATGGAAAATCGAAGAAGGAAAGCATAGATGAAGAAGAGTGGATTACTTTGGAGGAGAAAGTTCACTCTACAATCTTGCTTTGTTTGGCTGATGACATCATCACTGAGGTTGCTGCTGAGAAGACTGCCGCAGGCTTGTGATTGAAGCTTGAAAGTCTATACATGACAAAGTCTTTAACTAACAAGTTGCATATGAAGCAACGTTTGTTCAGTTTGCGTATGGAGGAAGGTACATCTCTGAGGAATCATCTAGATCAACTCAATACCATCTTGTTAGATCTGCGGAATATTGATGTTAAAATAGATGACGAGGATGCTGCCTTAATTCTGTTAGTATCTTTGCCACAGTCATATGAGAATTTTGTGGATTCTTTTATTGTTGGGAAAGATAGTTTGTCTTTGGAATATGTCAGATATGCTCTACATACTAGAGAGGTTCGACATAAGGCGCCTGGTTCGGAAAATCAGGCATCTGGGTTGGCTGCTACCGGTGGTAGGAGACAACAATCTGGTAATAAGAAGGCGAATACAAATTCGAATTCTGCTGGTTTGAAGGATGATATCTGTCATTACTGCAAGGAGAAAGGACATTGAAAATTTGATTGTCCTAAACTAAAGAAATATCAGGAGAAGAAGGAATCATCTGTTGTTGTGGCGGAAGAAACTAACTCTGATTCTGAAGATGGTTTAGCCTTAGCAGTGAATGAACAGGTACATCATCAGGATGTGTGGTATTTAGATACTGCAGCTGATTATCATATGTGTCCAAGCAGGGAGTGTTTTTCAACTTATGAGCAGATAGATGGAGGACATGTTTCTATGGCCAATGGTGCTATCTGTAAGATTGTTGGAAGAGGCTCCGTCAGGATGAGGACACATGATGGTTCTGTTCGCACCTTGAACAATGTTAGGCATATTCCAGAGATGACTAAGAATCTGATATCTTTGAGTCTACTCGACAGCAAGGGTTTCAGTTTCAAAGGTGAAGGTGGAGTGTTGTCTGTCTACAAGGGTTCTAAGGTGATTTTGAAAGGTGTCAAGCGGGGTGCCTTGTATAATCTACAAGGTTCTGTCTTGACATGTTCTGTTGGTGATACGTGCAGCAAGTTGGTTCTGAATGGCAAGTCTCAATATGGATTGGATTTGCCAAATGGTTTGAGTTGTTGACCGCCCTTAGGAGCATTTGGAGGCGGGGGATATTCTGGTACAACTGATTTGGAGGATTTTGGCACATCTGGCAACTTTTGGTTGCATCTGGTACATTTGGCAACTTTGGTTGCGTCTGGTACATCTGATATTTGAGAGAGAATTCAAGTCAAGGTGGAGATTGTTAGGATATGACTTGAATTTGATTTGAGTTTGTTTTGGGCCTATTTGTTTGGGTTTATGTTTGAGCTTTGTTTTGGCCTTTTCCTTGTATGTTTGGAAAAATGTATTTGGTTTTCTGTTTGGGATTAGGAGAAGAGTTCTATAAATACTCTTTATCACCCTAGTCTGTAGTAAGGTCAATCAGGTTAGTTTGTTTGGTTTGTCCGTTAGGAATTTGGTTTGTAACCTGTACTCTCCTCAAAATTAGTGAAATTTGTTCTCCCTTGCCCGTGGATTAGCTAGCACATATTGTGTCAGTAAAACACGTTAAAATTGTGTTCGTTCGTGTTGATTTGGATTATCGATTGCACGCTTTTGTTCTGAAAATATAAAAAGAAAAAAGATAGTTGAAGATTGTGAGAATATAATATTAATATATATCGACAGTCCATAAACCCATGTGTTATTTATTTAAAAAAAAAGTCGCACTGGTGCGCGAAACGTCCATTTCAGTTAGTGCTTTTTATCTGTTCTTCACCAGTGAGGGAGTTGGTTAGTTAAGAAAACAGGCTAAATGATCGGGAAGCCTTCCGTCATCAGATTTCGACTCTCCAACCCCAAATCCACAACAGAACCAAACCCTAACAAGCAGCTCTTTCCTCCTCATATTACCATAATGAAAAGTTCGATCCAAACAAGGAAATTAGGGGATTCAGTAGCTACAAAGAAAAGGGAGGGTTTCAGCAAATACCATCAGTTGCTCTGCCTAAAAGTAAGATCTTCCCCACTCAAATTTAGCTTCTTCCTTCCACCTACATTCTCCATTTTTTTTGGATTTGGTTCGTTTCTCTCCATCCCTCTCTCTTTTCCCCTCCTCCTCTTTTTTCCTTTGTTCTATATTTCTTATCTGATTCACATTGTTTGGGTTAGATCATTCAGAGGGGGGAACGAGCAGCCGGTGATGCTGCCGCCGCCGGCGATCTGATTCAAGCGGCTGTCCCGGATCGGATTTGCTCCCCTCCATGGCGGAAGGTACATAATAAGCTTCCCCTTTTCCTTTTTCTTAGCCTTTCCATGTCCAAAGTTCTTAACCCTTTGGCCGCTATTGATCAAAACTTTTATATTTGTTTTCTTTTCTCCGTTCCTGTTCTATCTGAAAATTTTGATTGGTAACCTCATTCTCATGCTCCTCTATTGATAACATATCCATTATATGTTTGACGAAATGCCGCAATGAGTCTGGGTTATGCGTATTGCCAGCGTTCTATGTGCATTAAGAATACATGTTTTCTGCATAACATAACAAGATGCTCATTAACGGAGCCAAATTGTAATTTGTGGGGTCCACAGATCCCACTTAGAAAGGAATTTAGGAAAACTGCATGCGCAAATAGTTAAATAATTTTGTATTTTGGACATTGGACATTATTAATTCTTTTCCGATTTTCTGAATTTGATGAAATCTGCAACTTATTTTAATCATTCATGTGCAATTCAACTTTGATTCAAATGATTGCAAACTACATATGTTTGAAAAGAGGTAAACAGAGATTAGAATAATCATTTCATTTTTTTTGACCCCACTTCGATGAATTTCTGACTAGCCCAATGAAGATTCTCCTAGTTTTGTGAATGATTAGCTCATAATTTCACATCCTTGGAATGAAAGGAGCTGAACAGTTTACTATTGTTATTTTTCTCAACATTGTATTTTTTTTCTTACAGTTATGGGTGTGGGGAATGACAAGGGAAGCAATACCAGAGATACGCAGTCGAATCCTGTTCTTGATGATGAGGATGAACTACAACAACAACATGGCAGCCCCAAGACATATCCAAAGCTTCGAATTCATACTGAAAGTAGTGGTAGCTCTTTGGAGCTGCGTCCTGAGATATCATCTAATGTGGAAGATGGAAGCAGCAAACATTCCAGCCTTGACCACTTCGATATGGATCCTGAGATAATCAGGAAAGCGATCAGCAATAAGCATACGGGACCAGTCCATCTCGAGGTAACAACTGACCACGAGAGTTGCAGCGATAATGGTTCGTTTAAGATAGATTCAGGTGTCATCGCTGGGAATTCTAGCAGCGGCCACTTGGAATCATCACCGATGGACTGTCCTGCTGCTGGAAGTCGTGTCGATGAAGTTGGTGATGATGAAGGCAATAACAACCCCATCAGGTTTCCAATTATCAAAATGGCTTCATCCTCATCCTCATCCTCATCATCCTCTTCTTCTTCCTCTTCCTTAGTTCCACCACAAGAAAATGATAAGAGTATTGACGAATTGGACCATCGAAGTCATCACAATGAAGATCAACTAGCAATAGAAAGTGGAGTTTCTGAACAGAACACCAAGGCAGGGGAACAAGAGAGCAGTTCTCTTACTCCCGAGATCGACAGTGAACATACGACGCTAGTGATTTTGCCTACCCAATCCCCTCCTGTTCAAGTAATGCAGAGGTCGGAAGGGTACGACCCACATCGAATACCACAGTCTATATTTCAGAGAAGCTCATCAGATGCGCAGAACGATTGGAGCATTGCCTCCAACGAATCGTTGTTTAGCATTCACGTAGGGACTAGTACTAGTTTCTCTAGAGAACAAGCACTGCTTATCAGTGAGGCCCGCAAGTTGGAAGAAAATTCCAAGTCGAATGAAGTGTTCTCATTCACCCCTAACCATCCTGACGATGAGGATTCTCCGAATAGCCCCACTGCTTTCCCAATTGCGGAGCTAGTTAAAGCAGATGTAGTAGCAGCAGCAGCAACAGGATCAGGTGATTCTCATTCAGTTGTAGAATCTCAAAATAAGCATATTCAAGCCAAGAAAGAGATTGAAATTACTCATGCGGCCGAGAATGCCAAAAGGGCAGCCGAGGAACAACGTAGTGATCAGAAGAAAGTGCCCACCGTGTCGTGGAGGTCAACCAGTGTTTCCAACTTCTCGGACCGGAGCCAGAACAGCACCCGGTCTTTTGCTTTTCCAATGTAAGTTCTTCTTCTCGATCTCTACCCTCTTTTACCTGCTTTACTTAAAAAAAAAAAAATATGTTCTTGGTTGTTTACCTTATAGGTGACCTTGTGATTCTAGTATATTGAACATGTTTAGTGAAAGCAAAAAGTGGGTATGCCGCCTAAATATAATGTGGTAACTAGATGGAACTTGACAGAACTAAACCGAGCTCTACTATGGATGACGACGATGGTGGTAATGAGAACACGGAAAGATCTATTATAGTGTCGAGCAGGAGCAAAAAGGATTGGGAGTGTTCATCTTTCTACTGTTCAAATGTTAGCACTTGGTCGTGGCCATCATGCTACTATCGTTCTTCTGGCGATACTAGTAGTACTAGTGGCAATGGCAGCTGGTGGTCGTGGCTATGGTGCGGCTGCTGTTGTAACTGTAATAGCTGCTGGTCTTGCTTTTCGTGTAAATCATCATCGTGTAGAATGAAGAAGAAGTGTGGATGGCGGCCATCATCGTTATCCTGTTGCTACTGTTCTAGCTGTAGCAGCATCTGTTCGTTCCGCTACTGTGTGAAGCCAAGTTGTTGTTGTACATGTAATTTCTGCTCCTTCGGTTCGAACTGTAGTGGGAATTACTATTGCTGCTACTGTTGGAACTGTAGTAGCAAGAAAAGATGGTGTTGCTGTCACCCTTCTTCCACGTACGCTCTCTCTCTCTCTCTCTCTATCTCCCTCCTTCTCCGCCTAAAATTTTAGTCAGCTAGGGGATCGTGTTTGTGTCTAGGAAGTAAAGAACATTTTTGTTGGAGAAATAGCCTTGATTCTATTTGGGAATCACCAATTGGTCACCATTTTTGATTTTCATTTTCTGTTGGGTTGGGTTGTATGCAGTTTGAGCGATGAGGCAAGATTAGAGTCAGCTAAGAAGGCACAGAACAGTGAGCAGACCCAAGAACCAGCACAACAGAAGAAGGCGAAACGGCGTTGGTACAACTTTTTGTGCTGCTCGTGGAAGAAGTGTCGTTGTAGTTGCTCTTGTATGAGTTGTGTTCGTTGTTCGCGATGCTGGCATTGTTGACAATGATCGAGGATCGAGTACTCCCCAAAAAAAGACCAGCAGAGGAAGAAGGCTTGTCATGGCTGCGGCGGTAGCCCCCTTTGTCTTGCCAAACGGGTGTTGTTTAGTGTTTACAGAAACATGATAATTGTGAGATGTTTAGCAAAACCATATTAGAATCTCAGAATGGTTCATCAGCTAGCTTTCACCCATTTTTGTCAGCAATGGGTTGGTAGCGAGGCCGCTGTTGAAGTCCCAAAATTTTGAGGTTGCATTGCACCCATCACCTATGCATATATGAATCCAGGCAAACAGGGGTATGGCGATAGAGGGTTCTCTAGCTTCATCAAATGTCTTGATTTTTCTCTAACATGCAGTGGTTAAAGAAAAATTCCTACAATAAAAATTCCAAAAAACACAAGTTTGGATTAGATCGGGGCCCATGTCAGCGAACATGATCACGGATAGAAAAGCAGTCAACCATTTCATTACTCAAATCTTAGCGTTTTGCAGTTGAATATTGAACTTCATAGCGATGAACGTTGTTCGCATTCGTGCAGATGAGACAATGTGGATCACTCCAATGAACGACGCTTGGCGGTTGATCACTTGGCTTAGAGTTAGAGGAGATCCAATATAGAGGATTCTGAATGGCTCCTTCATATGGTAAGTTGCGTCTATGATCGATGACCCACATCATAAAAGTTTTCTTTGAATTTGTGAGACGACTTTCCTCCTCTCAAAGCTCTTGACGGATCTTTGCCCGACCTCTGTCAAAAATGGATGAAGATGCTTTAATGGTACCTACTCATTTGTCCTATTATAACTTACCTGAATGACAGCTCGCACTGCAGGCTGAAATAAGCTAGTAAATAAATGGTTAATGTATTTATTATGTTATGTTTAGAGTAGGGGATCCGAGCCGAGCTGAACTTTATCATAGTTCATGCTCGGCTCGTTAATATTTTCAAACTCGAACTTGACTCGCCAATAAGGTTAACGAGTTCAAAATCGAATTCAGCTTATAAAATGTTCGTGATTGCTCAAGATTGAGCTAGAACTGAGTACAAAATTACATTCAAACCTGTAGCAAAGTCTAGCAAACTAAAACACAATATTTATCCCAATTTCAATATATAAAGTCCATGAATTCCAATTCGTTCTTATGTCAAGCCATTAAATGAGCTTGTTCTTTCGAGCTGAACATGGTATGACTCGAGTTCGGCTCGTTTAGTTAACAAGTTTGTTCACAAGCCAGCTCGATTAAGATGAATCGAGTATCTAACGAGTTTTTCTCGAATCGAATACCGAGTCGTTAATGAACCACTTGGTTCATTAACAACCCTGGTTCAGAGTACATAATATAGATCCATGGAACAAAGTCATGGAATCCAAGCACTAAGAATGAACCACCAAGAGTAGGTCAATCTATCTATCTATCTATCTTCTATCTATCTATCTTCTATATCGAGATTCTGCGGAGAGAGTGAGTTAAAATAAATATTTGAAGCCAGACCGCAACTCACGGAAGGACATATGTGTCTTTTCCATTATATATTATCTCATCGAGTGAGTTTAGAGTTGCATAATTATGTATTTGGTTGGCCATCCATTTATTAGCCTCATTCCAAAGACTATCCGATCAAGGCTAAATTAATTTCTCTTTCTTTTTTTAGGTAACGATAAAAAAGATATGAGATAATACTACCTTAGATCTAGGTTTGTGATGTATAGTTTTCTTTGACCATAGCGGCAAATCGACAACTCCCTTTGCTTTATTTTTTTTATAAATTCGCTTGGTTTTTATAAATATTAGTGAGAGAGTTATATTATTACCGCTGCCACAAAAATGGGTAAGAAAAACCATATTAATTGAAACTTTTCAAAGAAAAGTCGAAGAAAACTATGACGAATATATTTATTAGAATTTACAACAACACCAATGACAATAACAGTTAGGTAACAATCTACCTCTACTCTTCTTTTGTTTTTAACTTCAAGTTCATTCATTATAGAAAAACATCGTAACCAAGAATCTCTATATTTTTTAACTTTAGGATTAAAGTGAGTTGTAGATAACATTTGTTTAATCTAAATTTATTGTCCTATATCGTGAGGGAGCTAGATTTTTTGAAATGTCTATTGAGAAACTACTCAAAGACAGTGACAAAATGAGAGAACATTCACCTTCTCATCCCATACAAACCGAGAGCATGAAGTTAAATTTTCAGATCAAACTCACCGATTACAACATCGCAAACCTCATAAGTGAGTACACAATTTTGAACATAATGAAGTATGAAGAACAGCAATCTCAGACAAAATTTATGATATTTACTGGGTAAATTTCAGTTCTTGAAAATGGATTTTTTCAATTAAAACAATTTTGCCATTAAATTTTTGCATTCCATGAATGTAAGAGAAGAAGGAAGAGTATACTAATAGCAGAGGTAGTGCATTCAGTGATGGAGGTAATGACATTATTGAGATAAAGAAAGAGATTATTGATGGTGGATATAGAAATATCTATAATGGGAGGAAAGAGCGAATGGTTGATAATATTTATGATTTGTGTGAGGTGAAATTCTACTACCGTGAAAAGATGTTTCACATTTCCAAACATTTTATCATTAAAATTTAGTTTTCAATGAAATACAGGAGAAGAAGGAAGAGACTATTGATGGTGAATATAAAGTTTCATTAATGAAAATAAAGTTGTGTGGAGAAGATGCTTTGATGGTGGAGCAATAAAAAAGAAATTAAAAATGAAACTCACAATAATCTGTAACAACAAAGAGTAATTGAAGTGAGTTTTGAATATTAAGTTTTTTTAGGAATCGATTACGTGCATGAGTTATGTTGTTTGCTTTTGATAAGGAATTTTGTCCATGAATGATCAAGATATTGTAAAACTTATATTGTATGTTTTTTTTTTATAATTTGAGTTCTTTGACATTACCAAATAGATGATTTGGATAAATACTATTATTGATTATACTATTAATTAATTCATCCGGCCAACGGAGGGGCCCAACTCTAGTATTGGTAATACCAGCATTCATTTTTCAATTTAGTTAATGAATGGAAAATAAACACTACGAATCTTTGCCTTACCATTTTACCAATCTCTCCAATAGGGCCGACCTTGGTGGTGCGATGGTGGGAGGAGGATATCAATCATGTATAAAATTAATTAGGGTTAATAACATTTTGTACCCCTCTATTTTTGTAAATTAACAAACGTACTTCTCTACTATTTTTTTTTGCACGAGCGTACCCTTCTGGTATTAAAACTTAACGAACATATCCTTCCATCTAATTTTCTGTTAAATGACCGTCTAATGAGCTGTAAAAAGACCTAATCGCCCCTCATTAACTCCTAATTTTGATTTAATTATTTTTTATCCCTAACCAAGTTATAACCTACAAACTGTCAAACTCCCAAGTTTCTCTACGACAGGGAGACGTTTGGTCTTGCTCAAGTCGGCCATCAAATCCGGCACTGGTAAAGGACGGCGGGCTGGAGGGTTTCTACACGGCTCTTCTCCACACAAACGCACAACGGTGGCGCTCGATTTCTAACGAACAACAATTGGTGACGCGACCCTCTTCTCCCAGCAGTTGGCGACGCAATCATCTTCTCCCGCGAACAGCAGTTGGTGACCCGATCATCTCCGTCTGTGCTTCCGGCAACCGGCGCCAGAGAATCCGGCCACTTTGTACTCGGCCGCTAGCCTGCTACCCATCCACTCTACTGTGTTGGAATTGTCTTGAGGTGTAAGCTATTGTCTCCTTAAACCGAACTCAATTGATGTTGTAATGTTTATTTTTAAGCGAATACGAGAGAAGATAAATATGAATATTGGTTCTATGAGTTGGAGGCCAGACTTCAAATTTGGGTTCCCACAATATTTACACAAGAAGAAAGAGGGAAATAAAAGAGGATTGATCGACGAAAGGATGTTGATTGATTGGGAAGCTGGGCAGAGTTGACAGGCGGAGAAGAAGAGGCTGTCGGAGGACGGAGGCACAATCGGAGGAGAAGAGGTTGGCGCAGTAGATTCACCAAATCGTCAATCGTGTAGAAACCCTCCTGCCCGCCGCTGTCCTTTACCAGTGCCGGATTTGATGGCCGACTTGAGGAAGACCAAACGTCTGCCTGTCGTAGAGAAATTTAAGAGTTTGTAGGTTATATTTTTTAATTAATTTGGTTAGGGATAAAAAAATAACTAAATTAAAATTAAGAGTTAATGAGGGGTAATTGGGTTTTTTTACAGCCCATTAGACGGTCATTTAACAGAAATTTAGACGAAAGGGTATGTTCGTTACGTTTTAATACTAGAAGGGTACGCGCGTGCAAAAAATTGTAGAGAGCTGCGTTTGTTAATTTGCAAAAGTAGAGGGGTACAAAATGCTATTAACCCAATTAATTACTATTACTAGTATGAGGCCCGACCGATTGGCCGGATCGTCCTTTTTTTGTGAATAATTTTTTATTTTGTCAAATAAGATACATTTACATTTTCATCTGTTTAAAATAATGTATTAACATCTCTTCTTTTTAGTTAGGTTCATAATAAAATATGCAATTGGATAACTCATAAATATAGTGACAAAAGAAATTAAAATTTCAAGATAATTTTTTTTTATCTCCACCTTAATAACTTTTTCACTAATAAATAAACTTGCCAATGGTATACACGCTTAATCAAAAATTGATTTTTATCTCTTGTTGTCTTTTTCACATTTTTTCACTCCACTATGTTGTATCCTATAACAAAACGAATCTTATCAGGCTAATTTGGCCCTGTTGTATCTTTTGCAAAAATAACTTAGAGTTGTAACCTTTTAGAGAAGTATTTAAAAAATAATTGAGTGTTAGGCTAATAAACAATTAAAATTATTTTTGTATATCAAAGGACATTTGAAATTACTAAAACATTTCTGATATTAAATGTAAATAAAAAATATTCAAAATGGATCATGTTGAATTTCTTTTATACTTTATGTTAGCTTTTAAATAATATAAAAGAAAAAAATAAGTTTTAATTTGAAAAAAATAATTGTATTCTTAAAATAAATTTGTGCAGAAGCTCCAAAATCGGATTTTATACTTTTTTGTTGTACAATACACTTTTTGACTTTTTCAATAAATGAAGTTTTATAGGTGTTTGACCCGGTTTCAACTTTTAAAACACAAAACATGGCAAATATTGTTGTTTATTCAAAACCTCATTTTTATTGATATATAGAAAACTCAATTTCTGTACCCATTGAAAATCCAATTCTTATTATCTATTAAGGATCCGTCTAAGTTCAATAATACACTAAGCTTTTGATCTAAAACAAAGATTACAATTTTTTAGTTATTTATTTTCTTGTTTGGATCATAATGATTATTTGGAGATAGGCTGAAGTAGAAACAATTTAATAGGAAAAAAAATAATTAGTTTAATTTTATTGTTTAGATGGCTTTTAATCAAGGTTCTCAAACGTTATGTCGATTTGGCAAATGGTTTTGCCTGACGGGTGGTACAATCAGTTTATGCCAGTTCATGCCCGTTTTAGCAGAACATGTAGGAAAATGGTAGATATGTATATAACATATTTGAAGACAATCTCTCTAAACTTTAAATCCTTATTTGAATAAAATAAACATTCCGAACAAAATGAAAATTATTATATTTAAATATAACATTTAACTTCAACATCCAAAATTTTATATTTGATTCCAGCAAATAACATAAACATCTAAATATTCATACTTAAATTCAAGAAACAAATAAGAAAATGTATTGATTAAATGCACCAAAACAATATTATTTTGTTTAGAGATCGGAAATTCATCATATTAAAAATATTTCAATCGAGTACATAACCAATACTGATTGAACCAAGTTCTACCCTCCCAGTGGCGGATCCAGGGGGTGGCCACCCCGGGCCCCGGCCCAGCCCTCCCCTGGATCCGGAACTAGTGTATCCCTTATGAGTTTATCGATTTAACCATTTGGCCCAGTGTTATTTTATAATAAAATTGTGTGTAATTAGGAAAATGGGTAAGATGAACATATTCAAATCACAACTCTAAATTTAGCATGAAAATTCTAGCTCCAATAGTTCTCATATAAAGAAAAGCAAACAATGAAACCTAAAATTCTAAAACGTAAAAGACTAAAACAAATATGAGGTTTATTCTCTTAAGAAATTACTTGAGCAGCTGTTGAACATAGGAATTGATTAGTCGATTGTGTTGACATTTGCGCAACAAAATGAACGATGAATTTCTCTCCAATTGGTTAACTATTATATCTTAAAGAGAGTATGCTATTGATGTGGATGTAAACTCTATTATTGATGAATTCACTATATTAAAATTTAAAAAATTTACGTGTACAATTGATATTGTAAAAAAAACTGTGATTTTTTTACGATATCTAATTTTCTAATGAAATGCGGCCCAGTGCTACGCTGTGTCCTGGATCCGCCGCTGTACCCTCCCGCATCCACCTTCTTGACACCATCTTCTAACTGATTTTTGTGTGTTCACTGTTCACATTACCAAGAAGTAGTGATTTGTTTGTAGTGGAAGTAGTTGGTTTGTGGCCGTGGACTGTAGAAAAGAAAAAGGAAAATAGAGTTAATGGGATTTTAAATTGAAATGTTATTAATTAGACGGAAAAGGAAAAATAGCAGTGTTATTAAAGTCGAGCTGAGCCGCTCGGCCCGACCGGTAAAATCGCAATTCGGTCACAAAATCGGCTCAAAACAGTCTAAAAGTCGCTTCGATTTTATGTAGCGGTTGGCGAGCGGTCGAGGCGGTTAACCGCTCGAGCCGCTCGTCCGGTTTTTGCTATTCAACCGTTAAATTTAATTAAAAAAATTGCAAAAAATTGAAAATTGAAATAAACAAAAAACGTCGGACTCTCAAACTGAATCCTTATTTCCATGTCACAATTTCGAAGGAAAGAGATAAGCTCTGATAAGAAATGTCCACTATTTATACTGATAACGTTTATTAGGTACCGGTTCTCTAACGATTTTTAAACGGTCTAATGTCGGTTGGACCACTAAAGTGCGAGTCGTTCCCATTACCGGGTAATGCTCCGGTTCGGTCCTGATAATATTAAAAAATAGTAATAGCACCGAGCCTTTTGGAAAAAGATAGGGATGAATTGACGAATGACTCCTTCCGAACTATGCTGTATAAACAGCACCGGCTGATGTGGCAAGAATTTTTGTTTGACATTCCCTTATGTAAATGTGTAGACTAAGTACTAGCTTTGAGCACGGCCAATTGGCCGGATGACATAGAGAACCACTCAAAATCATAGTCAACCACTCTTACTTTGTTGTCACTCTAACCATGGAATTTGACTGAGGAAAAGTTCTAGAAATTATGTTATGTGACTCAATGAATTTTTAGGTGTTACTATTTTATATCTTGTGTTTCCTCTCTTAGTTTATCTTCCCTACCAACCATCAAACTAAAGACCTAAGGATTGTGGATATCACTAACACCCAACTGGTCTCAGTGATGACAATCTTTTCTATCTATCTCGTTTAGGAAATCAACCATGAATCCAATAATTTTCTTATAAGATAAAATTTTGTAAGATGAACATGATTATAAGGATGTCAAACAACCAGGTTGCGCTAAATATGCAACTTCTAATTACTTGTGTTAAACGATTAGGGTTATAGATGTTTCTTCTGCATTGACAATTATACAGTTTTCTTTCATTGAATAATTGTACAATTTATATATGGAAAAATCTAGAAATGAGCAGAAAAAAATAAAAACACAATGCAGC